CTTCTTTGATGGTTTTTCCCTATATAAATTTAATAACAGTCTTGGCAAAGCAAGTTTTACTTTAGAACAGCTGATCTCAAAGTGTGATCTGGGAAATGTGGGGTTAGAGAGGGGTCCCGGAGACCCTATATAGGGTCCATGAGGTCAAGACTATTTTTAAAAGACTACTAAGATGCCATTTGCCTTTTTCATTCTTTCTCTCACAAGCGTGTGGTGGGGTTTTCCAGGGGCTACATGACTTGCAGTGAGCTTTTCCTCTGATGGGTAATGAGATATGTGCTCAGGTATTCTTCTCTCTCTAGAACCTTCTAAGGTAGTAGAGTTAAGGTATAATTATGTGCATTTTCAGAGAAGAACTGAGTTCTTAGTGCTTCTGTGCATTTACTAGCTGTCTTTGCTTATACCTGTTATTATCTCTGTGACCTCATTTTCTTTCAATAAGTCATTAATTTGAAATCCCAGAGTTTTCCTGTGCCTATATGGAAAAATGACAAAAAGTATACTTTGTAGTCTTGATTTGAAAACTTTTCTAAATGTTTTAGTGGTGTAAAATTATTTTTTAATTTAATATTTTACTCTAAAAGGATATTAATTTATTTTTTGTATTTAAGGGTAGGTGATTGGCTTAAAAGAGGGGATATTAGAAGACTTGATTTTTCAATTCACAGCTACGCCATCTGTGCCTATAAATACTGAAATAGATGAAATAAACATATCCGAGTTCCCTGACTCAGGGAACAGAGGAATTTACTCCAGAGAAATGGGCAAAACTAAAAAAGAAATGGAAAAAGTTTTCCTTAGCTTTATAGCTGTCAGTAATTGACCACATGTGTCTTATGCCACAGAACCACTTTGAAAAATGAATCGACTAGCTTACCTGCAGATTTTATGACCTTTTAAAAAGCCTAAAATTATTTGTTACAGCTTTTCAAACTAGAAATGACAAAGTTGAAGCGTCCAACAGGATAAGTTATCAAGTCACATTGGCTGGAGAAACACACACTAAAGCCTTGTTTAGATGATAAAGCATTGAAAGAAGTCACAACACTGCCACTTTCCAATGATAAAGTAACTTGCCAAATTAAAGATTCAGCTGCAGGCGTGAAGACTGAGTTATTAGCCTGACTGTAGAAGTGTATTTTTTCTTTTTTTTTTTTTGCCTTACAAATGGAAGAATGGCTAGATTTGTCATTTTGCTTGTGTTCTGGTATCAGTACCAAAGCAGTCGCGCAAGAATATCCTTTTAGTGAATGTTTGACAGCAAACACAGGTAGTGCCAAGATATTCAAAGTGTCGAATAACTTTTTTGAATTTTATGGTTTACTCAGGAACAGCTGTGTTGCATTTGCACTGACGGTGCCAGGCAAAGCTAGGTAAACCTCCTACGCCTTTGTGTGCGTCAGGGCGGCGGTACCAAACCGTACTCCTAGTCTGTTCTTTACTGCCGCATACTTTCAATAAAAAAATAAAAGAAAAAATTACCAGCCTTACTTGAGAATGTCCTTGATCAAAGGTAAAAATGATTGATTTTGTTAAATTTTGACTTCTGAGTACGTATCTTTTTACTACGCCCTGTGCTGCATGGAATCGCCCATAAAGCGCTCTTGTTGCATATCCAAGCGTGATGTTGTCTTGAGGTAGGGCATTTGTGAGCTTGAATTGTGAGCGGAACTGGCCACTTTTCTGCATAGAACACCATTTTTGCTTGAATAACTGACAAACCGTGGTTATTCATACTTGGCTAACTGGTTGATGTATTCTAAAAATTGCGTAAGTGATCCTGTCACCTCAAGGAAACAACTAACAGTATTCGTTGCCAGTTAATTCGTATTGAGCACCTGTGAGCTTCCAATACTTAGGGATTTTCTGATGAGAACAGTGGTGACGTTAACCAATAGGAATTTTTCGTATTGTATAGTGAAGTGTGCTGACATTTGGAAGATGTGCATAACTCACTGAACCAATGTTTTCTAAAAGACCAATGCAGGGAGTTACAAAATCATGCAGGAGTTAGGGCTCCATTTAAAAAGCATTAGTGTAATGTAGCAAGGTACAAAAGCTTCACTGATAAGATTTCAGATTCCACATCACAACTAACCTTTGAGAAACTGCCGTGTTTTGAGTTTTATAAGAGTATCAAAGATGAACATCTAGGATTATCTGCAAAGGTTTATGAAATACCATTTCCTCTTTCCATTACTTTGCTGTGTGTTTGCCTTTTATTTCTATACTTCAGCCAAAGCAACAGATGAATAGAGAGCAGAAGCAGATGTGATAATACACCTGTTTTCTATTAAGGTAGACATCAAAGAGATTTATAAAATGTAAAATAATGGCATTCTTCTTACTAAATCTTTTTTGCTTTGGAAAATAGTCATTTTTATAAAATATGTTAACATGTTTATTTTTGAATGAATGAACAAAAATATTAAACATTTCTTGGTTTTGATTTCTAATGCAGTAAATATTAATAGATAAAATCCAGGTAAATAATAGCTCCTTGAGGTCCTCAGTTTTTAAGAGTGTACGGGAGTCTTGAGACGAAAAAACTTAAGTGCTGCCCTAAGAATATTAAATGTACCTTTGCAGGAGTGAGGAAAAAAGCTACATGCGGTAGATCGCTGGAGGGTTTTAAATTTTATTTTTGTTTTTAATACCCAAGCACTGTTAAAGCAATCCCATAGTAGGGGCGACAGTGCTGCTTGGGTTTTCTAGAGGGGCGGTGGCTGCCGCAGTTAAGTGCAGTGGTGCAGCAAGGCACTCAGCCCGTGGCACACAGAGAACATTTTAGCTGTTAATAATAGTGGAATAAAAAGAACCAACTCAGTTATGAATTATCCATATTGTTCAACTGAAACACTTTATATTCAAGTAAGAATTGTTTGGGTGCCTCTTTCATGTTTCCTCCTTGTAGAGAAAGAAAAGATGAATGCAATTGTACCTTTCTACTCTCTGCAGGTCTGTTTTTTACTTGACTCTAGTATTTTCAATCTTTAAAAAAAAAAAAAATTCAACTATGGCCACTTATCATTTTGCTTTTGAGAATTGGGGATAGTCTTTGAGTTTCAAATGTTCTGGGAAATCCAGTTGTCTCTTGGCTTCCTTAGTATCCCTTTTTTAAAAACATTTTTGCAGAACGTGTTAACTCTATACTCAGTATCCCTTTGAACTCGCTGAAATAGTGACTCTAAGAAGCAAAGGTCTGACCTGGGTTCAGGTGCCAACCATGGCTGCAGGGATGGTTTTCCCCAAGTGGTCCTCTAAGGGCCAGTTGAGGAAAACCTCCGGCCTTTCCTGTGAAGTGGCCCATCCTGGACGCCCCCTTTCTGACCTTGGCTCTGTGCAGTGAGACCAGAGATGTGCCTGTGGTGGGAAGGTTCTCTTCTGCTCGCTTACTTGGGGACATTAGCTGGAATGCAGGGCCTCAGGTCCTGGGGGCCTGGTGGGACGAGTCACCGACCCAGCAGAAGCCCACCTGCTTTTTTTTTTTTGAGATAGTCTTTCTCTGTCACCCAGGCTGGAGTTCAGTGGCTTCATCATAGTTTATTGCAGCCTCAAACTCCTGGGCTCAAGCGATCCTCTTGCCTCAGCCTCCTGAGTAGCTGGGACTACAGGCATGCGCCACCACACCTGGCTATTTTTGTAGACAGGGTCCTACTCTGTCACCCATGCTGATCTTGAACTCCTGGCCTCAAGTGATCATCTTGCAGCCTCCCAAAGTGGTGGAATTACAGGTGTGAGCCACTACGCCTGGCCCTACCTTCCTTATTTTGGCGTATTAAAGAGCAAACCCTCGTGACCCATAAAGGGTGTGAAAGCATATGTTTTCAGAAGACAGTATATTCCTTTTGTTTTATTTAATTTGGGTTTGGGTGTGATCAGGAAATGCAGGAAAGATGTTGCTGCCTCTGGTGTTTTAACTTAGAATTACTCTCTTAAACCTACTCAAGGCACTGGGTTGGGTACAAATTGAGGTCTTCCTGGAACTGTCTTCCACTGTGCTTTGTTTACTTTTTCTCTCTTTATAATGCAAAATATAAGATGGTTGGTGGGGTTGGGACATCAGAGTTGGCTATGAAGGCTCACCTACCCTTTCTGTGAGGAGCAAGCTTACAGGTGAGCGAGAGGGTGGCCCAGGTTGGTCGTGTGCAGTGTTTGATCTGCCTATCTCTAGGCAGGGCGGGAAGTTTGCTGTCAGAACCAGCAGAGCAAGCTGGGCGGCTCTGGGCTACTCTTGTGACAGGCTTGCCTGGGTGTTGGGGACAGAATAGGGAAGCTGGACGTCTCAAGCCATGTAATCGGACCATTCTGACCTCTCGAGGCCAGGACTGAGTTCATGGTCAGCCAGTGGTAATGCCGACAAGGAAGAAGAGCTAGAGACTAAACCAAATATGTGTGATCTTGGAAAGAATGAGGAAATGGCTTTTCTAAATGATCCTAAGGAGATGGCAGTACAACAAAAATTATTCACAGCTTATTAAATGTTGCTGGGGGCCATCTGCTCTTCTAGTCTGGTTCATTCCAAAGACAACATCTGAGTGTTACCAGGAGACTTACAGGGCACGGTGTTCTTTAATCGGGGGCCTCATCGACCCTGAGATGGATGCGTGGACACGTTGGTAACAGTTGTAGTTAAGCTGTAAAACCCCCGCCAGGATCCGTTGACTGTTTCTGTGGCGCTTATGGCTCTCTCTGCAGGGACTCCCTCTGTCCCCGTCGGATCCCAGTTGGCGTCAGCATTGTGCGATGTCGATTCTAAATCCTTGTGTGCCTGGACTTTGCGTGAGCCACGTTTTATCCCTTTACCACAGCACACATTTGACTGGCTTCCTGTCGGCAAACTCAGCAGTTTGGTTCCCGAATCCAGAAACATGACGTTGCCGGTTCGCCGACAATCTTAGTGTCAGTTTCAGTTAAAGAGCTTACTTGGAAGGGCCGGAAGAATGAGAGTTTCGTAGTTAACTCTGCTTCTTTTTTCTCACAGCGTATTTGAGTAGAAAATGCCAGTCGTCAGGATGCTGAGGCAGGTGATGGGCCCAGGGGCGCAGCGCCCAGCCTGTGGCTGTTGGGCACCTGGCCCGCCAGCACGGTTCCTGGGCATCTCGCCTCGGCAAATTCTAGCAGATGCCAGCTTCCACTTCGCCTCTTTCTCTGAAACAGACCATCCACGAGTCTTAATTACAGGTTGGTTTTTTTTCTTTTTTCCACTTTGGTGGCTTGATTCTTTCTTTTCCATACTGCCTCTGTGTGATTGCACCTTTGGTTTTGGGATGAGTAACATACCATCAGATCCTCCCTGTGCTGCTTGTCCCTGTAGCAGACAGTGCAGCAGAAGCAGGCTAACCAGATAACATCCAGAGTCTGGATTTATTTACTATACTGTGAAAAGGATCTCAGAATGGGAGATACTTTGTAATAGAACATTTTTAATTAGAACAGCTATCCTTGTTGATCAGATACTTCCTTTTCCACAGTTAGCTTTTTCTAGAATATTGCAAATCCAAAATCCTTATTTTGTCACTCTTGCCAGTTCTTGGTTTCTCTGGCATAATATTTTTTTGTTGTCTGAAAGGACCTAAAAACCTGGGAGCCAAACAGCTGTTCTGGAACTTGGTGCCCTTCCATATTGGATCAGTTTGGGGAGTGAAGGCTGCTGGATAGGAAGGGTGCCAGGAGTAGAGCGTTGATTCTGGAGTCAGGCACCCCTTCCCTTGGCCAGACTCCTCAACCTAAACTCAACGTCATTCACCCCAAACTGTTATTGCACATTTGGGTATTGGAAACAGAGAGGGTAAATTAGCATCTGCCTGAGCTCGTCGTCGCCATTGAGCTTGTCATCGCCAGCAGACTTGCTCCCTGATCCTCCTTATCTTGAATATTCCTAGCACCTGACTGTACCCTCCGGACCTTGCTCTGTACTTCCAGTCAGCCCAAGTTCACCTCTGATTTTGATTGACATGTTTTCTCTCTCCTTCTTGCCAGGCTTTCTTCCCTTGGCTTTATGTTGATATCCTTCTCACTTTCCTCACCTTGTGTGTGTGTGAGTGAAATCCCACTTTTTGTTTTGTCTTTTGTTTCTTGAGACAGAGTCTCACTCTGTCACCCAGGCTAGAGTGCAGTGGCATCATCATGGCTCACTGCAACCTCAAATTCCTAGGCTCAAGCCATCCTCCCGCCTCAGCCTCCCAAGGTGCTGGGATGACAGGTATGTCACTGCACCTGGCCATGTTTAACCCTCTTAATGGCTCCTTGTCAATTCAGTCATCTGCCCTTTTTCCAAACGACTTCTTGGTTTGTCCCTTCCTCGTTGCCCTTTCATATCTCCGTCCAGTTCTAATGGAGGATGGGATTCTGGATAATCCCACCAGAGGTTGATGTTTGGTTTTGAATGTTTTGGGCACCCATAGCAGACAAGCTTCAGAGCCCATCAAAATAACAAAGGCCTGGCATAAATTTCTGCTCTGCCAAATTCCAGACCCCTGTCTGGCTTTTGTGAGATTTTTCTCCTCTTATGCTCCCGTTTCCCCTCTTCCTCTCAGCCACTGCACCCTGGAGAGAGTTTTGTCTCCGAAACCAGTAGTGCCTGGTTGGTCTCCATCCTAGCTGGAGAAGGTCACGGCATGTTCTAAATGCTGCACCGTGTTGCTGAGAAGAGTGGAGTGAGCAGCAATTGTATCAGCTCAACCTAGGACTTTATCTAATTAGCTAAGACTGAAAAATAGTCTTACGCGGTTATTACAGTTTTGTGATAATTAGAAAAAAGTTTCACTTTTTTCTTCCTCCAGGGGGCCTTGGCCAGCTGGGAGTGGGGCTTGCTAACCTTTTGAGGTAAGAGCCCTAAAAACTTGAAATTCAAAATCTGAGTTCGTAAGTATGTGATGCTTGTCTTTGATGCCATTTAACCATCTTTTCTCTCTCCTCTTGTCCCTTAGCATTTTAGATATCGTACCTAAATGACTGTTTAAAATATATTTCATTCTGCCTCTTAATATCACAGACGTGTCGCAAGCCCTTGACCCATCTCCAGACCTGTCCTTTGCTCTATCTCTTTCCTAACTCGGGCAAAGCGAGACACGTAACTGCACGTGAAGCGCTGGCCGCCAGCTGTGTGGAGCAGAGGGAGGCGCAGGTGGAAACGGGAAGGAAACCGTGTGGGATTTGGAGAGAGTTGTAAGATAGAAGGATGAGAGAGAGGGGAGGGGAAAAAACTCTAGGGGTACTAGGAAGAAATCGGACAAGACAAGAGACACAGCACTGGCAGTGGGGTGAGAGGAGAAATGGACAACAGGGCGTGGGCAGGGAGAGAGAGGCCCAGGTACGAGGGGGAGAAGAACGGAAGGCGTGTGTGTCGGGGAGGAAGAGGAAGGAGGCATTTGGAGGCTGACAGCAAATTGCAGTTCCTAGGTTAATGTGGTTTTCATAGGTCCTCTTACAGCCCAGACATTGCCAACTTGTGTGCTGTGATTTTTCCCTTTAGGAAACGATTTGGGAAGGACAATGTGATTTTGTCCGACATAAGGAAACCCCCCGATCACGTCTTCCATAGTGGTAAGAGATCAATAAGCCTTTCTTTTGTTTTTATCTTTAATTTTGAGAATGCAGTTAAAGAGGCGACTTACGGAATCGGGGCAGGCAACAGCTCGTACGAGGTTTATAAATTAAAGAAGTTGAGGCACAACATGTCACTTAAAAATATTTCTATTTTTATATAAATGTATATACTTGTTTTATATAAAGGCTGTGAGAGAGAAATGTACATAAAGCCCTTAGAACAGCCTGACACGAACAAGTACTGGAGAAGCATTAGGTGTTGTCACCAGTGGGGTGGGCTTGTCATTCTTCCACAAGGAAAGCGCTGCGGAGCGCCCGACGGGTTTAGTTACCCGGTTGCTACCGATGAAATTCACAAGTCCACGGGGGAGAGGGCAGGGTCCATTTAGATCTTCAAACCGCAAACTTTTTCACTTCTGTGGTTTCACTCTGTGTTCCCTGTAGGCCCATTTATTTATTCCGACATCTTGGATTACAAGAATCTCCGCGAGATCGTGGTGAACAACCGCGTCACCTGGCTGTTTCACTACAGCGCTTTGCTCAGTGCGGTGGGAGAAGCCAACGTACCCTTGGCGAGAGCTGTGAATATAACAGGTAAGCGCCCGGCTCTGGCCCCAGATGATCCGTTCACCAGTTTTTCCAGTTCTTTGGCAAGAAGAGATTTTTTTCAGATCGCGATGATGTCTGTTCATTTCAGGGTTGCATAATATTCTGGACACTGCCGCAGAGCACAACGTGCGGCTGTTCGTGCCCAGCACGATCGGGGCTTTTGGACCCACCTCTCCCCGGAACCCAACCCCTGACGTCTGCATTCAGAGGCCCAGGACCATCTACGGGGTGTCGAAGGTCCACGCGGAGCTCATGGGAGAAGTAAGCGTCACCCGGCAAGGTGGATGAGTGTGGTACACCGGGGCAAAACGATCTGGTGTTTTCTTTCTCGTTCTTTTTGCCTCAAACCGATTCATGCTTGGAGGTACCTCCCCTGTCCCCTGATCCCAGCCCCTAGAGTCGCTCCTGGGCTCACTGTGTTTGCCAGGTGGCAGGCGTCGTAGCTCCTGCAGACCGGCTCAGGGCAGCCTGGCCCCTCTCCACAGCACCTGGTGACGCTCACCACTTCCAGGGCCCCGTGCGTGGCTCCCCGCCTCCCTTCGTCGCTGTCCTGTTTGTCCTGCACCACTCTTTCAGGCTCCCATATTGCTAACTATCGGTGGTGACTATAAACCTTTTCATTATGGAAAACTTCAAACATTTTTTTGGTTTTATTTTTTACACTCTTTGTGGTAAAATTCAGTTGCCGTCTCACCCTGGGGCTGATGCATCGCAGGCCTTGCTCTCTCTCCTGCTGCTCTCCCCGCTACTCCGTCCGAGGCTGCACCGCAGGACCGTGTTCATGCGGGCCTGTTTAGCGCAGCAGGCAGACCTCCGCTCCAAAGAAAGCTTCGAAACCCCACTGTGGGCCAACGTAGTATTTACAGTGCGGATGCATCACCAAAATGGCGAGTCTTTGAAGATAAAAACTCAAGTTGTTTATTAAAGATAAACGAGGCCAGGTGCAGTGGCGCGCACCTGTCGTCCCAGCTACTCGGGAGGCTGAGGCAGGAGGATCACCTGAGCCCAGGAGTTGGAGGTTGCAGTGAGCTGTGATGATGCCACTGTACTCTAGCCTGGGCAACAGAGCGAAACTTTGTCTGAAGAAAATAAATAAGATAAATGAGCACCTCTTGGAGATTCTAAAAGTCTTCATTTTCTTTAGGTATATTTTAATATAAAATTAAAGGAAAAGGCTGTTATTTCTTTGCATTGCTCTATCTGATTTAAAAGATTCTTTTTTGGAGTAAGTCTTTTCTTTGTCATAGTATTATCATTACCGGTACGGATTAGATTTCCGATGCCTGCGATATCCTGGAATCATTTCAGCTAACTCCCAACCTGGAGGAGGGACAACTGGTAAGTGTTTTCTATTTCTTTTATCTCTTGTGTATGAAGCAGGTTGTCCTGGAGTGCACCATTGCACTCCAGCCTGAGACGCTACTGGCCTTTTTCACTCTTCTCTTTCGTAAGTGCGCTGTGGGGTTTTCCGGAGACTGTGTAGCATGTGATAGCAGGACAGACAAGAGACTTAACAAAATGTGAAACAGGCCTGCCTTTGCAGCAAATTTTCTCTGTTTGGAAAAATGTATACTTTTTCATATAAAATATTATGCATATTAATATGTGATAGGTTTATTGTCGTTTTTTTTTTTTTTTTGAGACAAAGTCTCACTCTGTTGCCTGGGCTACAGTGCAGTGACATCATCCTAGTTCACAGCAACCTCAAACTCCTGGGCTCAAGTGATCCTCCTGCCCCAGCCTCCTGAGTAGCTAGGACTGCAGGCACGCACCACCACAGCCTACTATTTTTTTTTTAAATAGACACAGGGTCTTGCCATGTTGCCCAGGCTGATCTGAAACTCCTGGCCTCAAATGATCTGTCTGCCTCAGCTTCCCAAGGTGCTAGGATTATAGATATGAGCCACCGTCATGAGCCATTGTCATTTTAAAATGTAATAATATTTCAAAAAATTCTTAGTTAACTCTAATACAGTAAATATTGATACAACCCGCATTGATCAGGTCTCTTTGGGAGTCTTCAATTTTTAAGAATCTAAGGAGGTTCTGAGACTAAAACATTTGAGAACCGCTGCCTCGATCCAAGAGGCTCGTGCATGGTTTTGTTATAAGAAAACCCACAGGCAGGGCTGTCTTTCAGACTATGCAGTCCAGATTTTCCATGATGCTGTGAAGCATGGCAAATTCGAGTGCAACCTGGAAGCTAGCACGAGGCTCCCCATGATGTACATTGACGACTGCCTCAGGGCCACCCTGGAAGTCATGGAGGCCCCGGCAGAATCTCTCTCCATGAGGACCTACAACATCAACGCCATGAGCTTCACCCCTGAGGAGCTGGCCCAGGAGGTTCTCAAGCACGTGCCGGAATTCCAGATCACGTACAACGTGGATGCTGTTCGTCAGGCCATAGGTTGGTACCTCATGGCAAACAGTCTCGAAGCCAAAATTCAGCGTCAGCCTTCACCGAGCCCTGGAGGACATAAACCTCGAAGGCTAAGGAGAGCACAGCTCCTTCCCGAGGCTCCAGACACCTTCTGGAGAAGGAGCCAGCAGATGCTTTGATTTGGGGAAATGGTATCTAAAGTGGGCGAAATGGTTCCATTCCAAATAAACACAAAGCAAGGAAAAATGGAAGCAATCGAGGCAGTATGAAAACAGCCCTGGGTTTTTAAATTCTGTAACTTTGCCAATTTGTGGCCAGGAGCACCTTTTTGAGTATAAGATTCCTACCATACAAAGTTGCATGAGATTTTAATATGTGAAAATTCACAGTGCCCGACAGTCATGAAATATGGTCTTCGAACTTAAGCTCTAGTGCTCCTCTGCTGTACTCAGAGGGAATTTCCTTTTTTGACTTTTGTATAGAATGTTCTAGACCATTCTGCAAATCTAGAGCCTGAATAACTTGAGCTGCTCTCATCTTCTCCTAGCGGATAGTTGGCCGATGAACTTTGACGACGGCAACGCTCGAAAGGACTGGGGGTGGAAACACGACTTCGACCTTCCAGAGTTGGTGACCACGATGTTGAACTTCCAGGTTCCGACGCCAGAGTGGCCCAGGCCAACTGAAGGACTCTAAGGGAGAAGCTCCTGTATCCCAGACCCCTGTCGAGAGAGAACTGCCACCACCCAGAGGTTGTGGACCCCACGGAGCCTGCGTTATTTGGAGTTGGCTAATGCGACTAAATTTCGGCGGCTCATACTGAACCGCTAGGTGGAGACTGGAAATAATGTCTGTAGGTTTGGTGGGAGGACTTCACAATCTTTGCTGTTAGTTTAAATTTGTCTAAACACACATTCCATGGAATGAAGACTTAAGTCATAATTAGTTTCCATTCCCCTGATTAAGATGAAGCGGCCATTTCTGGGAAGGTGGAAGTTATATGACATTTGTACTTAATTAAATCCAATTTAAATATCACTCCTAATGCTCTATTATTCTCTTACTAGAGACCAAAGATTACATTTTAAAGCCTTTCAAAGACATACTCCTAGAATGAAAGTATTCTTCGCTATCTCATCTGAACATAAAAAATGTTGGGTGTATAACCCCACGTGCATAATGTTCAAGAGAATTGACATTTCTTCAACAATTATCACTTCTGATTTATTTTTCTGCGAGAAGATGCATCTGGAGGAAATGAAGAATATCAAAGATGATATAACTAGTTGTGGGGAGCCCCTCTCTCCCTGCCCTCCTGTTAGTGAGCTAAGTGGTAATTACCAGGAGTGTCTCTCCCTGACCTGGCAACACCTGCGTCCCAGGGAGCTTGTCTAAGTTTAGGGCCTCTGGGCTCCACCCCATAGCCAGGTGCTTCTGGTTATTCTAATCCAGCTACGGCCCACTAATCTAGACCAATTTAGAGCAACACTGCTTTCTACGGGGTACTTTCTGGTTACAGCCTTTTTTAGACATTCCTAGATTGAGCCTTCAGAAGAGCTACTCCAAACCTCTGCTGCAAGGACTATAGAAAAATACAGATCGAACTTTTCTGCAGCCACCTCAGGATGTTCCACATGTGAAATCGCTAGAAAGGAAAACTTCCAGTTCCACAGATTAATCACGGGGATATTTGATGACAGCTGTCAAGGATTACAAGGCATTTCTATTTGCTTAATGACAATAAAACATTATGCATTGGGAATTTTCTCTTACTTATTTTCAATATATTTAAGGGGTACAAGTGCAGTTTTGTTACATGGATGTATCCTATAGCGGTGAGGTCTGGGCTTTAGTGTCCCCAACACCCAAATAGTGTACGTTGTACCCAGGAGGTAATTTTTCATCCCCCACCCACCCCATCCTCCCACCTTGGGAGTCCCCAGTGTCTGTCACTCCACTCTGTGTGACTATGTGTCATAGTTTAGCTCCCACTTACAAGCGAGAACATGCAGTATTTGGTTTTCCATTCCCGAGTTTCTTCACTGAGGATAATGGCCTCCAGTTCCACCCAAGTTGCTGTAAAAGACATTATTTCATTCTGTTTTATGGCTGAGTGGTATTCCCTGGTGTGTATATACACATACACCACATTTCCCTTTTTTTATTTTTTTTTTTTCAGACAGAGTCTCCTTCTGTCACCCGGGGTTGAGTGCAGTGGTATCACCATAGCTCACAGCAACCTCAAACTCCTGGGCTCAAGCGATCCTCCCGCCTCAGCCTCCTGAGTAGCTGGGACTACAGGCATGAGCCACTGAGCCTGGCTAATTTTTCTGTTTTTTGTAGAGATGAGGTCTCTCCATGTTGCCCAGGCTGGTCTCGAACTTGTAGCCTCAAGCAATCCTCCTGCATGGGCCTCCCAAAGTGCTGGGATTACAGGCACGAGCCACCACGCCCAGTGGATAATTGGGTTTTAAAGCTGCTTTAATGTTTACTGTTTATAGTTTGAAAAACGGTTCTTAAGTCTCCTGATTCTCAATTATCTTAAAGGAATAAGAAATTAATTCTTCCACGAGAAGGGAAGAGGCAACTGGCCTGAGAGAGCCTGTGTCTCGTAGACGCTGGTGTTCTAGCGTTTCCACCAGTTTCCTAGGATGACCTTGTCACTGGGGTGCTTTGGAGGGGTTCGTTCTAAATGGCTCCCTTTAATCTATCTAAATCTATAAAGGCACCTCTGGGAGAACCACAAAGGAGAGTGAAAAAACAAGGAATACTTCAACTCTCATGGATGACTCCTATTCACCGACGTCTTTGCACTCTCAGACTGAAATTAAAGTTTCTGTCTATACACTCAATATCTGGGGCACCTCTCAGGGGCTCACAAAATGACTCCATGTTTGCTATAAAGAGCTTTCCATTCTGTTGGGAGAAAGGGTTGTTTTTTTTTTATGGTTAATTTGGAAATGATGTGAAGAGCTACTTAGAAAAAGTGGATTTAACCACAAAAATAGTTTTTTGATTTTAAGTAACGAATGCCAAGGTTGGCTTTGCTCTGATGTCTTCCATCTTGTAGGTCTGCACGGATCACCGGTGTGGTTATTAGCTCTGCCCGCGTGTTTCGCTGTGGTGTTGCCGTGATGTGCCTTCGTGCTGGCCCATGAGCAGCGCCACCTTACGACTGCCGGCAAGATGCGCTGTCTGAAGTCACAGGCAGGTTCGGGGTGGCGAATGTTACCGCATTGCTTTGGACTGGCATCGCGGTAGGTGTGCGTGCTAATAGTAATTTTTAACTCGCGTAAGCCAGATTGCCATTTTGTTATTGCATTTTATAGTAAGGGCATGAGTGTGTTTAAAAAAGACTTGAAAACTTTTCATTTAAAAATATTTCTACTAAGGATTCAAACAATTTAAAAAATATAATTTTAAGAAGTTGTCTTCTCCTCTAAGCCCCATCAATAACAAGTTAACAGTATGGTGTGCATCCTATTTTTTTCTCCTATGTTTATACCACCTACGATCGGAATGTCCAACTTTTTTTCTTTCTTTCTTTCTTTTTTTTTTTTTTACTATAAAAGTAGTGCTAAGGCAACATTGCCAAAAGTTTGGAAAAGACTTGTAATTTTTGCCACCTAATGTTTTAAAATATTCTCCAATCTTCTCATATACACTGCAAGTAACTTAAGTGTAGTTTTAATACTTGTCATTTAAAAATAGCTGCATTGCCCATTGAGTGGCATATTATCATGATGTAATTATTCCACTATTTAATTGCTGTACTTAGAAACCTAGGAGTGCAATCGCTGGGTCACAGAGCATAAACATAAAATTCCTAGTTTTCTTACTGTCATATAGCTGTTTTTGGAGGTAAAAACCCAAAACGTTTGCTAAATATCTGCCATATGCTTTGAAATGAATTTTGCAACGTTTACTAAATTCTGGAAACCAACTGCTGTGCTGACATATTTATTCAGTCTTGAAACAGATGGGAGTCTGTCTGAGGGGGAGGAGTGAATGGTTTTTAAGAATCTTTTTGTTTTAATAAAAGATTCCAAAATGATTCCTGTAATATTGAGTGTTGATCATTCGATATTTTATATAATTGTGTGGAAACCGTTTCCAACACTTCTGTTCAGTAAAGACAATTTATAATTCTCTGGAAAGACTCTTTTGCACTAATAAGCAATGTTCTTTATTTTATAGTTTGTATTTCAATACAGATACTCCTTAAGATGGGGTCACCTCCTGATAGACCCACTGTAAGTCGAAAATAATGTAAGTCAAAAATGCGCTGAATATGTACACCTAACCTACTGAACATCATAGCTTAGCCTGCCCTACCTTAGCCATGCTTAGAACACATACATTAGTCTACAGTTAGAAAAAATCTTCTTGGTCTTGAATGATCTTCTTGGTCCCCTGCTGGAATCTTCCGTGTCCAGGTGACCAGGCCAGGACCACCTGAAAATGCTCAGCTGACCCCCGACTGCTGTTTTGGGATCTGGCATCCTTCCTCCATTCCCCTGGCCCAGAGAGACCGCGGGTCCCATCTTTCCTTCTGTCTCCGTGTTCAACCAAGGTTACCACTTCTGATTCTCACTCCCCTTCCTCCAGGGACCTAGAGGCCCTTTGCCAAGTTCTAAAACTCGAATGCCCAGCTGCACTTTAGATGTTACATTTTTCAGGGGAGAGGGTGCTGACTTTTATCAGAGTCTCAAAGGGTCTCTGTCCACCCCAGAAAATAAAGAATCATGGCGTTAGAGGGTCTTCACCCATGCACGTGGACGAAAAGGCAGACAGCTCTAGTCCGGGCTGTAGTGTGAGCTTGCTGTCTTGCTCCCGCTCTCTGCCCGGGTGACAGGCCTGAGAGCTGGGCAGTCCTCCATGGCCCCGGTGCTGCTCGTGCCAGAGGAAAACGGGGCGGGTTGCGCACCTGGGCTGGCGCCGTTCCCAGGCCCCACTTAGCTTATCAGCCACTCTGCCTGTATCTTGAGGCTGAGACCTTGTGAGCTGATAGCATCTTACCCTCCTGCCAGAGTCAACACACTGCACGCCCATGAGGCTAGCCGCCATCCCTCGGAAGGGGGTGGGGAGAACGCCACACTGTCACCAAGGCAAGCCGGTGCGTTCGGCCTTCATCGGACGGGCCCCTTTGGCTTCCTCTCCTTATCTCTTCCCCTCCCCAGGACCTGCAGTGGCTATGTGGGGCATTGGTCCAAGGCCAGGATGTTTCTCCTGCTTTGGGCTTTCTGGGATCTGTCGTCAAGATGCACTGCGATTCTGATCTTGGCCCCACGGACATCTCTCTCCCTGGCGGGGATCCTTGCAGGGCCCTGAGCTCCTAGGACCACAGACACGGGCAGCAATTCAGAGTCAGCCCCTGGGGCCTGTGGTTGGCAAACGTCCCTGGATTGCAACGGGCGGAGAAGGAATGGACACCTTCCTTGGGCGTCTGTGGGAACTCTGAGTGGTGTCAACCACGGAGCCCTCCAGTTCTGTGCGAGCAGAGCCTGCAGAGAACGGGCACAGTGGAGAGTGGCAAGGTGTCCCCCACGCGCCACCAGGAGAAAGCAGCAACTCCTGTGTCTGGGTAGACTAGCAAGGGGAGCTGCCGGACAGGAAGCCGGGGGTGCATTCTGGGAAGCACGTCACGGGGGGTGGCAAGTCACCACGGGAGCGATTTATGGCAAAA